AAAAGTTCGATAAAAATTCACTCTACAACTGGATGGAAACAGTCTAGATTCAAATTTTTATTTATTTAATTTTTTGCGAATTTTGAAAAGTTCGATAAAAATTCACTCTACAACTGGATGGAAACACGATTAGTGTTCTGAATTCTGTTAAGCTAGGTCCTTGATAAAACCATCCTCCCCTGGTATGAGTCTGTCTTCAGCAATTTGACCCATCACCAGATGGTGGCCTCRCACATTGTTTTCCACATTGTGTAATCTATATGTCCTACATGCTGGGCATTTATTTAAATACAAMCACCATGTTAACATTTTCAAACTCCATCAAGCGCTGGTCTATTGAGACTTCAAGGCATCTTCTGTGGCTGCTGAACTTCACTCACTGTTCTGTCAGACACTTCAGCATCTGCCTGATAACACAACTGCTGCCCTTTCTACATGGACCGGGTCCTTGTGTTTGTCATCCAGACACAGGTACTGGACTCTAGGATACACTGTGTCTACCATACTGAGTTTAAATGTATTTCCAACAGCTGTTTACATACCTATGCCCAAGGAGTGTTTCTGAAACTCAGGTGTGAGGTAGGAGATCTTGGTCAGACTGAAGACATAGCGCTCCAACACATACCAGGACATTTCAGTGAAAAATGGAAAACGGAACTTCACTGGAACCTGTGGAGGAGGTGAAAGGAACATATTTTATGTACTAATAAGCCCTTGCTGCTCTGCCCACTCATGTTCTCCAACAACTATGTTAGGGTGAAACTTTCATTGTGGGAATATCCACAAACATTCAAGATCGTGAAGAAAATCWATACAACCTCAGCATCTATCAGTCATTAGTTATTGGGAGGGTTCTGTGCAGAACTGTATCGAGAACAACTACAAAGACACTTTCTTTACTTGTCAGAGACTCATGTACATGGCTCAGTAGGAAAAGCTGCATTAAAGCAGAAATATTAGGATGTAAAATCTTTGTTTACTGTCTGTAACCAGAGCAGACTGTGTGCAGGTCCTACAAGAATACAGTTCTCATTGTTGGTGCCACTACAAGTTGAAAAACAGGAATGTGGTTTCTTTATGCGTAAAGAAAAAGYGAAAAGAGGCTTCAGTTAAAAACGCGAAATATTTGTTCTCTGGAAAATCTCTTAATTTTWGTATTAGTATCTAGGAAATAAACTYTGGCACACCCCTCACTCTGAGTCTCAGAYCAAAGGCTCTGAATCAGAACTTTGAGTCACTGTATACCAAAGAGCACATTTTCTTTAAATATTTAGTGTAATTGTGTACCATAAAAAGACTTGGAGGTAGGAAGAGTTTGTTTGCTGTGGTTTTATGAAACTATGACACAACTCCACACTTTATAACGTGACTTCAGAGAGGGAAGATAAACTCAGGGGCTGAGACAGTCAGGTGGTAAGTGCCACATCTGGCACTTGATTGGCCACCCCAGTTGCCCCAAATTATTGGCAACCATTGGGGTGGGGGGTGGGGGGCTGCTATG